GGAGCTCGATCCGAAGTGGAGCGGCCGGAACGCGAATCGGCGCTCCCTGGGCCCAAATTAAAGCTTTTAAATACATTATCCCACTAGTTATCCATCCGCCCGACCTTTAATACATTTCCGAGTGAGTCCTACAGTATTACCTGTATTTTTGACAAGATCTCCTTTGTACCCAATTGGTGACTGTGATAGATTGAGTGGTTCTTAAGTGCCAGGGGCCATGCTAGGCACACTGCAGCCGTTCTCACATGTAATCGCCCCCAAACACACGGGAGGGAGCAGGGGTTAACCGGCAGCCCCCCACGAGTAGGTGGCTTCTGCTTTGTTCCTGGCATTGTGGCTCAAGACCTGTTTGCATCGGTCTCCAGGAAGGCGTGTTAACACGCAGATACCATGGTCAGCATCTCTGTGCCCCCGCATCTGTCTCGGCTGGAGTTTGGGGGCAGTGATTGAGTTTGGGTGGCTGAGAGGCTTCGTTTCTTTAGCGGGTTCTCCTGGAGAAGCACGTTCCTCCTTTCTCTCCCAGCCTCTCTGCTTGCCTGCGCCTCTTCCCACGGAAAGCGGGCTTACAAACCCGCACGCGTCCACGGATGTTAACCTCGTCTGTTCTCCTGCCCTTAAGCCCTCACACCAGCAAGCATCTACCAGGAGCAGGTACGTAGGCACCTGAACTAAAGATGTGCTTGGGGTCCGTGCTGTGGCTCAGCAGGTTAAAGCCCTGGCCTGAAGCGCCAGCATCCCATATGGTTCGAGACCCAGCCGCTCCACTTCCGATCCAGCTCTCTGCTATAGCCTGGGAAAGCAGTAGAAGATGGCCCAAGACTTTCAAATAAATAAATTAAAAAAGAAGAAGACGTGCGGGGGAGGACTCTGGAATTGTGGCAGGTGGGTAAAGTCGCCCCTGCAAGGCAGGCATGGCATCCCGTGTGGGCGCCGTTTGTATCCCGGCTGCTCCACTTCGAGAACCAGCGGATGGACGATCTCTCTCTCTCTCTCTCTCTCTCTCTCTCTCTCTCTCTGTAACTCTTCCAAGTAAAGTAAAGACATCTTATAAAAAAAGAATATGAAGAAGATGCACTGGGTGAACTGGAGGCAGGGTCTGCTGGGGGCTCCTGCTGCTCCTGGCTCTGCGGGGGACAGGACGCGCTCCGGCCAGATCTGCCACTCTCCGAGAGAAGCATCTCACTGCTTCTGCAGGAGTGAGAAACCATTTCAGCCGAGGGCTGCTGGGTGTTCAGGACATAATTCATGGGCCGTGCAACATGGCCAACTTACAAATGAGCCTGCCACAGATCTACTGAATGGCGAGTCCTGCCTGTGGTTGCGTTAGCCGAGTGATTTCACAGACTCGGTATGGCCCAGGGCCTGACGCTCCCCACCCCGTTAGGGAGCATTTTTCCTTGTTCTTCAGCGTTATCTCACCTCTGTTTGGATCCTTCATCCAAAGTTTAAAACTAGCCTTCTGAGTTTCCAGAAACTATGAGATTTTAGTTGGAATTATACTGCATTAATACATTATTACCGTTTTATAAATCTGCATCTTTGCATACATGACCCCACTTTATTTCTCATTTAGAGCTTATGAATTTCAATAAAGTTGTATAGTTCTCTTTGTAAAGGTCTTGCATAATTTTGGTGATTTATTCCAAGGTACCATATGGCTTGGTTGCATTATAAATGAAATGATTAAAAGTGTAAAAAGGGATTACATATTGATGTTTAATTTTTTAAAAAAGATTTTATTTATTTGAGAGGTAGAATTAGAGAGAGAGACAGAGAGAGAGAGGAGAGACAGAGAGAAAGGTCTTCCATCTGCTGGTTCACTCCCCAAATGGCTGCAACGGCCAGAGCTGTGTTGATCCGAAGCCAGGAGCCAGGAGCTTCCTCCGGGTCTCCCACATGGGTGCAGGGGCCCAAGGACTTGGGCCATCTTCTACTGCTTTCCCAGGCCACAACAGAGAGCTGGATCGGAAGTGGAGCAGCCGGGACTTGAACCGGCGCCCATATGGGATGCTGGCACTGCGAATGGAGGCGTAGCCCACTATGCCACAGCACTAGCCCTGGTGTTTAATTTTTATGTATTTTCATTTTATTTGAAAGGCAGGGGGACAGATATTTTTTCCGAACAAAGTTTGGGGCTGATGCTGTGGTGTAGCGGGTAAGGCCACCGTCTGTAGGGAGCTGGGTTGGAGAACGGAGCACCAGGACTCTAACCAGCGCTCCAGTGTGGGATGCTGCGCCACAAGGCCAACCGCTCTGTCGTCTTTCTTGTGGAGCCGCCTCCTTTTTTCTGTTCTTGGTACACTGGCTGCACAGGCTTCCCGGTGGGTCCTCTTTCACATTTCGATCTTCTTTCTCTCAAACCTTATATTCGGCGGATTCTGATAGCACTTCTTCCAAAATGTACCCCAAATCTGACCTCTCTCAGGTCAGGCTACCATCATCTAAAGTGCTTAGAATATCCCTGGTTCTGTATATTTACAAAATAACAGGCAAAGGTGTGCGGCCTGGGTCTGACAGCAGAGCGCCCGGTCTCTGGCCTGGGTCCCCGGGTCCCAACTTCCCACAGGAGGTTACTGAGGCTGGGTGGGGCGGGGAGGGACCTGTCTCGGGAGCATCTGGGCCATCTTTGACATCTCTGTCCTCTGGGATGCTTGCCGTGAAGTTGCCGGTGTTTCGTAAGCTCTTCGTAAGTGGCAGCTAATTTCTGAATTGTTGGGGAACTGTGTTAATTGGCAATGACTGCATAGCAGAACAGTTATAAATAGTGGTAACTTACATAACCGTGAGGCTTGGGGCCGGTGTGGGGCACAGCCGCTGAAGCTGGCACCTGTAACACCGGCACCCGGGATCAGAATGCTGCTTGAGTCTGGCTTCTCTGCTTCCAATCCAACTCTTGAGAAAACAGCGGAAGATGGCCCGAGTGCTTGGGCCCCTGCCAGGACATGGGAGACCCGGATGGAGCTCCTGGCTTCTGCCTTTAGCCTGGCCCGGTGCTGGCTGTTGCAAGCATCTGGGGAGTGAACCAGCAGATGAAAGAATCTGTCTCTCCTTTCACTCTGCCTTTCAAATAAGTAAAGATAATTAGGTTTATTTCTTTCTGTTATAAAATAACTCTCTAACTCTGCCTTTTAAATAAATAAATCTTTAATAAAACAAGTCTGGAGGTGGTCAGCTCAGGGCTGGGATTGTGACTTCTGAGTGTCAGGGACCAGGACTCTTCTATGGGTTTGTTCTGTCTTACATGTTTAAGGATACTCCGTGGTCCAGACGCTGCTGAGCTCACGCCATCAGCTCCATTACATGGATTTGGACTTGGGTCCATCCATCTGCATCTCTTTCTTGTGGATGGAATTATGGGACTTGCACTAATGTCTTTTGTTGAAAAGTTTATTCCTGAGGCAGAGAATGAGAGAAGGAAAGATGGAGGGAGGGAGGAGAGAGAGAAGCCCTGGGCTAGGTTGAAGCTGGGAGTCGGTTCTCCACGTGGGTGGCAGGATCCCAAGTGCTTGAACCGCCACCTGCTGCCTCCCATGGAGTGGGGCTGGGACTTGAACCCAGGCATTCTGATATGTGAGGTCGGCACTCCAGGTGACATCTTAACTGCTGTGGACATCACCCTGCCCCGTGCCCTCTGTCCCCGGAGGAGTTTTTCAGCAGGTGCCAGGGTTGGTTAATTGAATGGCTCCATAGCACCATCCAGGGACAGGCTTCTTCCGTCCTCCCTCCCACCGTTGCCAGTGTGTTCTCTTCAGCCAGTTCCCCTCACAGTTCTAGAGATTAGGAATCCCATGCCGATGTGACAACGTCTACTGGTGGACAATGGAAGGTTTTTCTGCAGTGTCTTTTTATTTTTTATGGGGGTGCGGGGCCCAAGCACTTGGGCCATCCTCCACTGCCTTCCCGGGCCACAGCAGAGAGCTGGCCTGGAAGAGGGGCAACCAAGACAGAATCCGGTGCCCCGAACGGGACTAGAACCCGGTGTGCCGGCGCCTCTAGGTGGAGGATTAGCCTAGTGAGCCACGGCACCGGCCTCTGCAGTGTCTTTTTAAAAAATATGATGAAAACCTTTCCCCAAAGTCTCTGAGTGGACTTCTCAGTCTGTGATCAGATAGCTTCTTGGCAAAGGAAATGGGTACCATGCCTAACTCAGACCAATCCTGACTGCTGGGCTGGGACTAGGGGGCTCCATCTCAGCACTCACAGGGGATGTGGGCACCCCAAGTGGCAGCCTCACCTGCCATGCCACAATGCCCAGACCACTCTTTTTTTAAATACAAGCAATGAAAATAGTTGCTATACAAACAGGAGAGAAAAATGGTGATATACGAGAAAATGGGAGGAATTACTGAGCCATTGTCTTCGAGAAAACGAGAGAACGTCGTACTGGTCTTAGGGGCCGGTTTTGTGGCACGGTGGTTAAGCTGCGGTGTCAAGGGCTTGCAGAGTGCCAGTTGAGTCCCAACTGCCCTGCTTCCTGCAGATGGATTCTGGGAAGGCAGCAGATGACGGCTCAAGTGCTTGGGTCCCTGCCACCCACGTGGGAGACTTCCAGTGGAATTTCTGGCTCCCAGCTTCGGCCTGGCTCAGCCCTGGCTGATGGGGGCATTTGGGGGGAGTGAACCAGTGGATGGAACATACACTTCTCTCTCTCTCTCCTTTCTCTATCATTCTGCCTTTTCAGCTAATTAAACTTAAAGATTGGTCTTTGTAAATGGCACAGGAGGGCGGCACCAAGCGGATCGATAAAGCGCTGTGATCCCTAGGATTTCCTCAGTGAAATGTTGAGCAAAGCCATTAGCCAAGCGTGGGGATGGAGAAGGAAGTGATAGGGGTTTGATGACTCTTAAGAAACTATAACTTTTCAGGGTAACAGGGGGCGGCGTCCAATTTGGGTCCAACCTGAAAGCAGATTGCAAAGACAGCCAGCGAGCTACGGTTTTGTTTTGCCTTGGGAAGTTAGTCCCTCTAGGCGAGCGGTAGTGAGCGTCCCGTTTCCCTGGAGACCAAGGCTGCGGGGGAGTACGGGGTCGTTGGGCAGTTATTTGAGTGGCCCGGGTCACCACGCGATCCACGCTGAGAAAAGCACTTGGGAGAAGCCTGCTAGGCATCCCAGAAGATTAGGGCCTCCCGGACTCACAACTCTTCTTCCATTTTCCCCCATGTCGAATATCTTCCAGAAGTAGGTGAAAAGGAGCCTCGGCGGGAAGGTGGAGTGCGCATGCGCGATCCCCTCCCGCTACCCTCTCCTTCGCCCCGCCCTCCCCTGATGTCACCCTGTGGTCCTCCGACCCCGCCCTCTCCCCGCCCACAGCCCCAAGCCCCGCCCCGCTCACGCTCTGTTCTGCAGCTAGCAGCTCGGGCTTTTGGGCTTTGAACTCGAGACCCTGCGCCCTCTTAAACATTGCTGCTCGCAGCGCCGTGGGCTGGCGATGACGGAAGTTCTTTCCCGTCCCAACTCTTTGCAGACCCAGCCCCTGCGAGACTCCCTCCACCGTCCGCAAGTTCCGGGTTCTGGTGAGTGCGGCAGGGCTAGGGATGAGGGCTTGCGGCGGAAACAGAACCGAACCGCTAGACGCCACCCCTAATCAAGACGACGTCGGGGGGTTCCAGGAAGTTTTTAGCTGGCCCGAAAGCAGCGCTTGAATACCTGAGACTGTGTCCTGTGTCCAGCATTCCTTGGTGGGCAGCATGCCCTGCACCTGCTCATCTGTCTCGACGTGTGCTCCCCTGGGGGTCGTCAAAGACAGATCGCTTGTTGTTTAGCCAGATGTTCTACAGCGTGCATCTGAAGTTACAGCACCATTAGCCTTTATCCTAAAACGCTGTGCAGCTTATATTCTGAAAACTGCATTGCGCTTGCAACTGCATCAGTGTGAGAGTACATTGTGTTGCTTTTACTCATTTCTGGTTGCTGGTCTGGTTTCCCGAGGGTGGGTATTGGGTTTTTTCTAAGCCTTCTGTTCCTCACAGTGCCTAGCGCCTCAGAGCCTAGATGTGCTTTCGAATTTCTGGCTGCATTAAAAAAAAAAAAAGGTAACAACTCCTGTTTGTGGAGCCTTACCACATGCTTTACAAATATCCTCTCTTGGAATTCTTTCATAAGCCCCATAACATTAGGTTTTATCATTAGACCCACTTTACAGATGAGAAAACTGAGGCTCAGAGAGGAGGTTGCTTGTTGGAGGTCGCAGATGGCTGCTTGGGTTTGAGCCCGCCGTGCTGTGTGACTGTGTTGTCTGATGGGGTCATGTTCCCTTGCAGTGGTCCAAGCAGAAGGCCAAGCCACTTACTCTGCCTCCACTCCAGCAAGCTGGCGGTGGTGGCCACAGCAGAAGCAAACTGAAGACTTTCAGTAAGTGCCAGCCAGGTGGGCAGAAGCCTTCGCGGGTTGGTGTGGGGCCTGGGGACTGCATGGAGCGACTGCTCCTGGATCTTGGTGACACTGTTCCTGTTGGGTTTGGCTGGCTAATGGAACAAGCAGCACCCAGATTTCCAGTCCCCTTTTTTTTTTTTTTAAAGATTTATTTTATTTATTTGAAAGACAGAGTTACAGAGAGAGGTAGAGACAGAGAGAGAGGTCTTTCGTCCGCTGGTTCACTCCCTAGATGGCCATAACGGCCGGAAATGCACTGATCCGAAGCCACGAGCTTCTTCCAGGTCTCCCACGTGAGTGCAGGGGCCCAAGGACTTGGGCCATCTTCTACTGCTTTCCCAGGCCATAGCAGAGAGCTGGATCGGAAGTGGAGCAGCCGGGACTCGAACCGGCACCCATATGGGATGTCGGCACTTCAGGCCAAGGCTTTAACCCGCTGCGCCTCAGGTTTTCCAGCCTCGATGTGGAAGTTCGTCCCTCAGTCATGCCCAGGCGCATGTGTGGTCAGAGGGAGGGGCGTGACGTCTCACGCGCCATTCAGGGATTCAGGCTCCTCTGACCTCAAGGCCCTGACGTTTCTGAAGGCCCTCACGTCCTCTCTGGGGACTTCTGTGCCCCGCTGGCAGAAAGGGAAGAGAGAGCGCGAGGACACGAGTGATTTCCTGGGTGGTTTTCTGTTCAGATTTGAAGTTCGCATGCCCGGGGCCGTAACTCAGTCTCGTGCCCCCCCCCCCCCCCCCCCGCAGTGGGAGCATGCGTTCCAGCTGTGTGTCCGGAGGAAGAGCAAGCGGGTTGAGGAGTTCGCGGGGGAGTTTGCATGTCATTGTCATGTCTTCCGCGGGAGTTCTGAGGCCTGGGCTCAGGTGGACGTGGGTTCAAATCTTGGCCCTCCCGTTTGTCCCTTGGGGAACTCCTTTATCTCCCCGACCCTTTGTTTTTTCTCCCTCATCTGTGGAAAAGGGGCACTAGGACTGCTGTGGGAAGACCCCTTCCAGCCCCGAGACCCCTTTTACTTACAAGGACTTCGCAGGAGTCCTTTAATGTTCTGAAGTGAGCCTCCGAGACGACATGGCCTGTGCATGTGTGTACGGGCGCATGTCAGCCCTCACACGATCATGGCTCATGGGTGGGGACGCAGGCTCAGGCTCCCTGGCTGGGAGAGTAGAGGCCCATGCAGCCCCGCTTCTAACCGCATGGTGGAGGCGCGGGGTCCCACTGGGCTCCGCAGAGGACTGCTTACGATGCCTCGGTGAGTCTCATTGCTGCTGGGTGGAAGTGAGGGCTTAGCTTACCGCAGAGCCCTGCTGATGCCGACCTGGAGGACAGAGGGGTGTCAGAGCACCACCTGCTCCTGTGGCCCCGTGCGCACTGTCCTGGGCAGAGGCTCGGAGCCCCGCGGCGCCGGGGGTGGCAGATCAGCTCCCTGCTTCATGCCCTCAGTGCCGTCCAGCCAGGGGAGGGAAGGGCCTGGACACAGATACCCGGTCGATTGTGCGGAGGAAAGAAAACCTTTTCCACGGATGGTGTTGGAGTAATTGGACATCCACAGGCCCAAGAGCGAAGCCTGATTTAGTCTCACAACTTACACAGCAGGGAACTCAAGGCACGGGCATGCTGCCGCGGGTAAAGCCACTGCCTGCGATGCCAGCGTCCCAAATGAGCGCCTGTTTGAGTCCCGGCTGCTCTGCTTCTGATCCAGCTCCCTGCTAACGCGCCTGGGAAGGCAGTGGAGGATGAGCCAAAAGCTTGGCCCTGCACCCACATGGGAGACCTGGGTGGAGTTGCAGGCTCCTGGCTCTGTTGGCTGTTTGGGGAATGAATCAATGGATGGAAGATCTCTGTCCCTCACTGTCACTCTGCCTTTCAAATAAACAAAATAAAGATTTTTGAGAACTCAAAATATATATAAATGGTAAAACCTCTAAAAAAGTATCTGAGAGAAAAATCTTTGGGACCTGTGGCAGAATGAATGGCTTTTATTTTTAATATTTATTTATTTGAAAGGCAGAGAGAGAGAGAGCGAGAGAGAGAGAGGTCTTCCATCCACTGGTTTGCTTCCCAGATGGCCACAATGGCCAGGGTTGGGTCAGGCCAAAGCCTGCACATGGCGTGATTCTATGTAGCATTCCAGAATGATAAAATGATAGAGAAATGGGGAGCAGTGACTGCTGAGGGCCAGGGATGGAGGCGGGGGAGGTGGCAGGTGTGCTATGGAAATGTTCTAGTCCTGGTTGTGAGACTGCATGGTGCTGTCTCAACGTGTTGCCGCTGGGAGAAACTGGCTGAAGCACACATGGGTCCTCTCTGTGTTGCTTCTTAAGACTGTCTGTGTCTCTGAACTTATCATAGAATAAAAAGTTGGGGGCCGGTGCCATGGCTCACTTGCTAATCATCCACCTGCAGCACTGGCATCCCATATGGGTGTCAGGTTCTAGTCCTGGTTGTTCCTCTTCCAGTCCAGCTCTCTGCTGTGGGCCGGGAAGGCAGTGGAGGATGGCCCAAGTGCTTGGGCCCCTGAACCTGCGTGGGAGACCAGGAGGAAGCACCTGGCTCCTGGCTTCAGATCGGTGCAGTGCCGGCCATAGTGGCCATTTGGGGGGTGAACCAATGGAAGGAAGACCTTTCTCTCTGTCTCTCTCACTGTCTATAACTCTACCTGTCAAATAAAAAACATAGAATAAGAAGTTAATTACAAAACGGACACATCAGGGCTGCGCCTGTACAAGCAAATAAATGCTCATTATTACGGCTGCAAATCTTCCTTAAGCATTTCACTTTGACTTGTGAATCTTAACAGTGTTTCCCAACACTTGGAAGGGGGATTTTGGAACTTGGTTAATTAAATTTCCCTAAACCGTTTAAGCCACATTTTAAAATTTAACATATTCATTTTAATTTTCAAATACTTGAAGTGCCTTATTAGCAAAAACCACTGGATATTGATATAATTCCTGTATACCTAATAAACAAACTTCCAAATATGGCCAATGTTACATTTTCTTAAAAGTTTCAGTGATTTATACAGATTTTTTAAAAAGATTTATTTATTTATTTGAAAGGTAGAGGCAGAGGCAGAGAGAGAGAGAGAGGTCTTCCATTCACTGGTTCACTCCCCAGATGGCTGCAATGGCTGGAGCTGCGTGGATTCCAAGCCAGGAGCCAGGAGCTTCTTCTGGGTCTCCCGCGCAGGTGCAGGGGTCCAAGGACTTGGGCCATCTTCCTCTGCTTTGCCAGGCCATAGCAGAGAGCTGGATTGGAAGTGGAGCAGCTGGGATTCAAACCGGTGCCCATATGAGATGCTGGCACTGCAGACAGCAGCTTTACCTGGTACGCCACAGCACTGGCCCCGATTTATACAGATTTAATGAGAGCGTCTTGAACCTTAAAACGTCTTAAAACAAATGTGGATCGGAATCTCATTAACACTTTTAAAACGGGAATCACAAGATTGGTTTATTGATATTTCCATTTCTAAAATAATACAATTAAATACCAGATAGGTTCAGATAATTCACGCATGTAACAATATTCATTTATTTCATCATCTCAATCAGTACTTTCTAAGATTTCCCGGGATTAAGGATGTTGATCTAATAAATAAATAAATAAATAAAGTCTTTCCCAAGTGAACTGGCTGCACATGGAACAGGGGCTGGAGAACGGAGCTGCTGCACCCACCCAATCTGAGCCAATCTGAAGCTTTCCCAAGCCATAGGCAGAGAGAGAGAGAGTTCTCCAAGCCGCTGGTTCACTCCCCAGATGCCTGGAACAGCTGGCGCTGGGCCGGGCTGAAGCCAGGAGCCTGCAGCTTCTCCTGGGTCTCCCACGTGGGTGACAGGGGCCCGAGTACTTGAGCCATGGCCTCCCGCCTCTCTCGTGTGCACTAGCAGGGAGATGGTATCAGGAGCCAAGCCAGGCCCCAAGCCCAGGAACCCGGGTCTGGGAACTTTCTCACTGGACGCTCAGCTGCGAGCAGGGGTACCTGGCTGCCCTCCGTGGCTCCGGGTCCTCTCCTCCATCCATCCCCACAGTCAGGGCTTTCACCCGGGCTTGCAGTGCCCTATCCCGGGGCCCCCAGTCTCTGTCTGGGGTCACATTATTCGGCTGGGAATGCCCCGGCGGGGCCTCACCTCTCTCCCACCCTCTCCCGTGTGTTCGCAGTGTTGCACCGCAAGCCCACCACCGCGGGGACGCGCCCGCCGAGGAACCCCGCGGACCCATTTGCGAGGGAGATGGCAGACGCCAGGAAGATCCAGGCGCAAATCCGGCTGACCAGGGTGGGTGTGGGCGCGCCTCCCACGGGCGGGGGCGGGGCCAGGGGCGCCGCCGCAGACTCACTGCCTCCTCCCAGCTGCCTGTGTGCCTGCTTGTCCTCGTTTCCACTTTACAGACGGGAAAACTGAGGTTCAGGGGGAGAAACGACTCGCACTGGGTCGCGCGGCCAGGAAAGGCAGGACCCAGGGTCAGAGCCGGCTGAATACCGCGGCTGCCGTCTCGTTGCAGACGCGGGGACATGTCTGCATCACCGTGGGTTTCACTTCACGAGGGACGCAGGCCTGTTCATCGTAAAATTCCCGGGAAATTAACCTTTCTTGAGGGCAGGGCTCCCTCCCGCGAGGCTCAGAGCCAGCATGAAGTCTCTCACATCACAGTTGGAGAGGACTGGTGCTGCACTGCTTTCTGGCTCCCCCGGGGGTCTGTGTGGACCCACCGCAGGGGGCCCCATTCTGAACACCATGCTAAGAATTCATCCCTTCAAAATAGCTCAGCGAACAGTGACTACTATATAAAGAAACAGGGAAACTCGGTTTTCTTTGAAGGATTTTCCCCCCTTTGACCTTCAGTTTTGCAAAATGGTTCAGAGGGGCCCAGCATTCTTAAAGGGGGAACTCAGCTTCTCATGTGATTATTAAAAAAACAACTTGGTCATTTTAAAATTTATTTTACTGGAAAGGCAGAATGACACACACAGAGAGAGAGAGAGAGAGAGGGCATAAGAAAGTGGGCTGTTTCATCTGCGGGTTCACTCCCCAAATGCCTGCAACAGCCAGGGCTGGGCCAGGCTGAAGCCAGGAGCCCGGAGCCCCGTCTGAGTCTCCTATGTGGGCGGCGTCTGAGTCTCCTATGTGGGTGGCGGGGGCCCAGGCACTTGGGCCACGCCCTGCACTGCCCACACGTGCTAGCAGGAAGCTGGCTCCCAAGCAGAGTAGCTGGGCTGGCCCTCCAGGATGGGACGCATGCGCATCACAAGCAGCGGTGCAACACCTGTCCCTAATGTTATTTCCATCCTGGTTCGAGAAGAGTTTATGTGTTTTTATTCGACTGAGAACATGAACTCAGATACTTTGGCTGCAAAGCCTGGGCTTCTAACCGGTGCTTAATGCTATCTCTTAGGATCTTTCACTCATTCAGCTTAGGCCACACACATTGACTGGGCACTCGCTGTGTGCCAGGCTGTGGTCTGAGCACAAAGTGATGTGACCTCTGATTGAGGGGACCCACAGGACATATCTAGGATATACACCGTGATGGTAGGAGCCACAGGAAGTACATGGATAGGATCGCGGGGTAGAGGGGCACGGAGGAGGGAGTGGTTGGGGTGGTGACAGGGAAGTCAAAACCTGAAGGGAATGAGGAAGCACTCATGTGGACATCTGAAGGAGCAGTGTGTGCAAAGGCCCTGAGGCTGGTGCGGAAAGAGCAAGTGGGTGGGGTGGAGAAGGAGTAGGTGTAGCCCTGTGGTCCTGATGTGGCTTTGCATCTTTATGCTGAATGAGAGCAGGGATGGGATGGGAGTCGGGTTTTCACAGGAACCCCGGGGCGGCCTCTCCCTGCACAGAGTGGACTGAGGGGCCAGGAGCACACGAGGGGAGGGGGCAGCGGCTACCCTGTTGGTTTGTTCCGGGAGGCGGGGCGGGAGGCTCTGGTGTTCAGCCTCAGAGCCACCGAGGCTTACTTACTCACTGACAACCCGAGAGAGCACCTTGTATGTGCTAGGCGTGGCGCAGCAGCCGGGAACACAGCACTGCAGCTCATGCCGCAGCGGAGCAAGGCCTGCGGTCAGTGACTTAAAAAAAAAACTCAAACAATAGTTGCTCTTGAATTTGTTCAAGCCACGCCCACAGAGCGCCAGGCACTATCCCACGTGCTGGAGATGGAGCTGAGGCCGGACAGAGTCCCCGCCCTCCTGGCTGTGAGCTGCCCACAGAGGAAGACAGGAAAGCACCAGTAGACAGTGTGTTTACTCTGCTAGGTGGTGAGACCTAGGAGAAGGGCCCGGGGACGCGGAGACATGGTCAGGCTTGCTCTCTCTCTCTCTTTCTCTCTTTCTTTCTAGATTGATTTATTTGAAAGGTAGAATCACACACACACACAAACACACACACACAATGAGAGAGAGAGAGAGAGAGAGAGAGAGATCTTCCACCTGCTGGTTCACTCCCCAGATGGTTGCAATGGCCAGGGCTGGGCCAGGCTGCAGCCAGAGGCCTGGAACTCTATCCGGTTCTCCCCAGGGGTGCAGGGGCCCGAGCACTTGGGCTGTCGTCCACTGCTTTCCCAGGCGCATTAGCAGGGAGCTGGATTGGAGCTGGAGCAGCTGGGACGTGAACTAGGGCTCCTATGAGATTCTGGCATGGCAGACAGAGCCTTAACCCGCCGTGCCCTAAGTTTTACTTATGTGGTTGGAGCTTGGAGTAAGGGCCAGGGAGGAATGAAGGCGGGTTCTCCGTTAGAGCTGTGGTCAGAGGGACCCACCTCCAGAGCAGAGGTCAATACGTTCTGTTAGCATCCCTGGGGGTGGGACTTGCATTGGGAATGCAGGCTCCTGGTGCCACCCCGGGGATGCAGGCGCTGAGGCCTGGTGCGGGGGGAGGCTGTCACTCTTCACAGGATGCCACTGGGTTTTCTGGTCTGAGAAGTGGAGGCGAGAAGGTGGGACAGCTTGGAGCCCAGGCGTGGAGGCCTGCGGCTCTGCTGCGTGTGAGCCTTGCTGAGCCTGAGTCCAGCTCTCCACCGTGTGAGGTGGGGCCGGCGTTCGTGGTGGGGCTGCGGTGGGAGTGAAGCGGGACAAAGGCTCTGAGGAGCTGAGGGCCAGGGACAGAGACTGCGGGAGCAACACAGGAACAGCGAGCTGACCTGTGGAGCAGCGTGCACGCGGAGCCCGCGCACGGCCACCCGCATGACGACTGGGAATTGTAGCTCACCTTTTTTTTTTTTTTTTTTTTAAATGATTTATTTATTTATTTTGAGAGAGAGCAAGCTTCCATCTGCTGGTTCACTCCCCCAGATGGCTGCAACAGTCAGGACTGGGCCAGGCTGAAGCCAGGAACCCAGAGCTTCCTCCAGGTCTCTCCTGTGGGTGCAGGGGCCCCAGGCACCTGGACCATCTTCTACTGCTTTCCCAGGCCCTTAGCAGGGAGCAGCTGGGGAGACGGCATCGCAGGTGGCGGCTTAACCCACGGTGGCCCCTCTGCTGGGAACCACAGGTTCGTTCCCTGAGCGCCGCTTAACACCCGAATGTCACCCACTGCAGGGTTCAGCCGCGGCCCGCGGTGTTAAGCCCCCTCGATCTCCGTGAGGTGGACAGACGCTGGGCCTCCGGCATGGGGGCTTCCAGCCCCAGCACCACCACTTCCTGGCTCTTGGAGCCCCCCTGGAGCGTGGCGTCAGGGCCTGCGAGGCGAGCCGCGGCGTTGGCTGCCGTGTCTGACCACGGGGAACCGCCGCCCGGCCTGGGCCTCGTGTCCAGTGGAGGCCACGGCGGGGCGGGAGGCTGCGGGCCCGGCCCGGCCCAGCGCCGCCTCCCCGTCTTCCCTCCGCCCGCAGGCGATGCTCAGGAACCGGCGGGCCACGCTCCAGGAGCTCGGCAACCAAGAGCGCTACCTCGCCAAGCTCAACGACGAGCTGTTGAGGATCATCCAGGACGTGGAGGACAGCACGGCGCTGAACGTGCGGGAGCTGCTGCATCAGCAGGACACGCTGGCGGTGAGGCCCGCCCCGGCGCCCCCGCGCCCCCTCGCGGCCGCCGGCGGGAGCGCAGGCAGGCTGCGGGACGCGCGCGAGGTGGGCAGGAGCCGGGACCCGTGCTCGCCTCACGCCTATTGTGGTCAGCGCGGTCGGCCCCGTGGAAGCGCTTCCGGTCAGTGTGTGGCCGGGGCAGAACGGCTGCGGGAAACCTCCGCGTTGGAGCAGCCTGTCCAGGACAGCGGGCCTGCGCCTGCCACAGCCCGCGGGACGAGCAGCCGGGTTTCTCGGGACTGAGTCCGTGTGGGCCGCAGTCACAGGAACCCACGGACTCGGTGCTTGAACAGATTTGCCCACGGCCCTGGCGGCCGCAAGTCCCCGGCTCCCAGATGACCGTGTGCTCGCCGCGTCCTCCGTGTGCGGGGAAGAGCGCAGCGCCGCCGTCCCCCCTCTTCTTGTGGGACAGCAGCCCTGTTGGACCTCGCTGGGCCTTGGTCACCTTCCTCGGGACTCTGTGTCCAGATCCGGCCGTACTGCGGGTTCCACCGCAGTGGACGAGTTCAGAGTCCAAAGCCAAGGACGCGCAGTTACTCCAGTACCAGAGGAAGCTGAGTAGGACCCTGGCAAACTCAGACCCAGTCAGATCTGACTGCCCTACTCTGTCCACTGCACTTGTGTCCGTCCCGAGTGGCTCCTACCAGTGGCTGGACAGCAGCGATGAGGGAGACACCTCGACCTGGGGAGGCCTGCAGGCAGTTAGAGGCCGTGCGTGCGTGCGTGCGTGTGCGTACACATACATGCGCGTGTGTGCCTGCGTGTGCTGGGGGGAGGACTTGGGGACCCTCGAGGGAACCTCTGATCCAGACACAGAGAATCAGGAAGGCTTCCTGGGGAAGGAATGCTGGGGCAGAGGGGGTGGTGCCTGGCAGAGACGGGGCCAGGGTTCCAGGTGGAGGTAGGTGCCCAGAGCAGAGGTGAGTGGGGCATGGCTGGCTCCGGGAGCTGCCCGATGGTGAAGGTGAGCGTGGCTGGTGAGAGGATGTGAGGAAGGGAGAGACGGGGTTGGCCCACGCTGCATGGAGGAGGGCCATGTCGGCCAAGTAAGGCGTTTAGACCTTGGTTGTTTGTTTGTTTTGAAAGGCAGAGTAACAAAGAGGCAGAGACAAAGAGAAAGAGAGAGGTCTTCCATCCACTGGTTCACTTCCCTAATGACCGCAACGGCCAGGGCTGGGCCGGGCCAAATCTAGGAGCCATGAACCCCAATCCAGGTCTCCCATGTGGCTAGCAGGTGCCCAGGCACCTGGGCCATCCTCTGCTGCTTTCCCAGGCGCATCAGCAGGGAGCTGGATCGCAAGTGGAGCAGCCGGGACTCGATCCAGCACTTTGCTGTGGGATGTCGGCATCCCAAGCAGCAGCCTGACCCACTGTGGCGCAGCCCAGCCCCCATGTGGGCCTTATCTGCAGGGCAGAGGGAAGTCACTGGGGGTTCCGGCAGGAGAGGGCCGTGGCCAGCGGGGTTTTGTTGAGACCGATCACTCTGACTGCTGTGTGGAAACACCTGGGAGGGCCCGGGAGGCGTGGCTGCCGTGGTTTCAGGGGGCTGAAGAGTTGGAGCAAGGTGGTGGCGGGGTGGAGGTGGAGAGGAGGCGAGAACTGTTTGGTGACATTCAGATGGGTGTGGTGAGCAGGGGCTGAGTTGAGCCTGGGTGATGGTGTGTGGCAGGGCCATTAGCTGAGGGGGACAGTCCCTGGGGCCTGAACTCTAGCTCTGGGGTCTGGTTACTGGGCCTGGGAGTGGGGTTCGCCTGTGGGACTCACCCTTGGAAGTGCAAAGGGGTCACAGCAGGTCCCTGCAGCCCCTACCCCCCAGAGGCAGCTGAGCCGGGCTTGCCCTCCCGCAGAACGTGGTCAACATCCTGGAGTACTCCAACAAGAGGAGGCTGCAGCAGCTCAAGTCCGAGATTCAGGAGTGGGAAGAGAAGGAAAACCAGAAGATGAGCTGTGAGACCCTCCCCCGCCCCCCCGCAGCCCAGGGGCTCTGCTGTGGGACACTCACCTGGCACCTGCCGTTCAGAAGCCCCCTGGGCCCACCCTCTCCCTTCCAGGCAGGCGGAGTGGCTAGCATGCAGAGCTGAGCTGTGGGCACTCACGCGTGCACGCCAGGACCAGGTCTCCTGGCTTCCACCCTCCATGCTGGGGGGCGGGGCAGTGTGTCAGGCAGCCTCAGAACTTGGGGGGGGGGCACTCCACGCAGGAAGGCGGGACAGACTCTGTGGGCCAGTGTTTTGGGAGCCAGTGTTGCCCTATGTCCCTGGCCCCACTTCCTTAGGGGCGTGTGTCAGAGGAAGTAGCTCCAGGGCACGGTCTTGGCAGAACTGGGATCTTGCTCCAATTTTACGTCTCTTCCCCACCCAGCATCACCTCTCCCTCTGCAGGGGTGGAAGACTAGGGGCCTAACGTCACCGTGGCCAGCCTCGGGTGACCTTGCCTCAGCCCAGGCCCCAGTCTGTTGGCCAAGGAGAACCTGGTCTCTCTGGGACCCCCTAGGAGGGTCCCTTGAGAGCAGGTCCTGCCTCCTGTCCCCCCCGCCCCCCGACCTCCTTCACCCCGCCCCTCCCCCCACCCCAGGCCTGGAGCGGCAGGTGCAGCATCTGGAGGCGCAGAACAAGAAGACCCAGGACCAGGTGAACTTCCTGAGCACGTACATGGACCACGAGTATCCCGTCAAGCTGGTCCAGCTCGCCAGCCTCGGGCGCCAGGTGCAGCAAGCCAAGGATCGCCAGCAGGTAGGCCGGGCCGGCCCTGTGCCCCGGGGCCGTGCGGGAGGCAGGGCCAGTGGCAGACGCGCGTGTGGCTGGCCCCCAGGATGAGCTGGATGACTTCAGTGAGCTGCGTAGGAAGGTCCTGGCCTCTGTGTATGCCAAGATTCAGGAGAAGCAGCAGAGGATTTTGAGGGCTGTGGCAGTGGTGAGGAGCCGGCCGCCTGGGGCTGGGGTGGGGGATGGGAATCTGGGTGCCCTGTCCTGCCCGCTGTCCTCCAGAGCCCTGCGCCCGCCTCCCCCCACCCCCGTCGGTCTCTCCCCTGCGCTGCTGCCCAGGAGAGGCCACGGGCACCACAGCTCTCCTTCCCCTGCAGAAAACCCAGCGTCCCCACCAAGAGGCTCTGCTGCGGAAGACACAGGAGAGCCAGTTCATGCAGAAATTCATGTGGAGGTTCAGAGACGTGCGTGGACAAGCATGGCCCTGGGCAGCGGGGCGGCCCGTGGCCCGTGGGAGGGAGCAGCGGGGCGGCCCGGGGCCCGTGGGAGCCAAGCTTCTCCCTGCCAGTGCCTTTGGTACCACTTGACATTAGTGCTGGCCCAGGTCCCGCTTATTAGCCAGTGCCCCCCACCCCCGCCTGCCCCTCGGCACCCACTCGGCCCACCCGTCCTCACTGTAGACTGACTTCACTGTCTCCTGGCCCTCCCTTCGCCGTCGCTCCCCTCCGTTCTCTACCCCCCACCACCTTGTCCTCAGCACCAGCCTGGGGGGCAGGCCCGTCCCCACAGGAAGGCCCCCTGTGTGGCCCCAGTGACAAAGCCATTCCACTCCCCCAGATTTTTTTTTAAGATTTATTTATTTGAAAGTTACAAAGAGAGGTAGAGCCAGAGATAGAGAGGGCTTCCCTCTGCTGGTCCACTCCCCAAATGACCGCAATGGCCAGAGCTGAGCTGATCCGAAGTCAGGAGCTTCTTCTGGGTCTCCCATGTGGGTGCAGGAGCCCAAGGACTTGGGCCATCTTCTGCTGCTTTCCCAGGCCACAGTAGAGCTGGATCGGAAGTGGAGCAACAAAGACTTGAACTGGCACCCATATGGGATGCCTGTGCTAGAGGCCAGGGCTTTAACCCACTGTGCCACAGGGCCAGCCCCATAGTGTTTTGTGTGTGTGTGTGTGTGTGTTTTTGTGTGTGTGTGTGTGTGTGTGTTTTTTTTTTTAAGACTGCTTATTTATTTTGAAAGTCAGAGTTGGGAGAGGGAGAGGGAGGAAGAGAGGGAGGGGAGAGGGAAATCCTTTCATCCTGCCTGGTTCACTCTCCCAAATGGCTGCAAATAAGCCCAGGCTGGGCCAGACTGAAGCCAGGAGCAGGGGTTTCTGCACGTGGATGCAGGGGCCCAGACTCGGGCCATCCTCCACTGCTTTCCCAGGCCACAGCAGGGAAGTGGAGCAGCCTGGACTCGAACCGGTGCCGGTGCCCATATGGGATGCTGGTGTTGCAGGCGGCGGCTTAACCGGCCTTCCCTAGCTGTCTTGACCCCCTTGTCATTTTGTCCTCTCGTCCCCCTGGGTGGGGCGCGGGGCTCCTGACTTCTCGCCCGCTGCGCCTCTCCCACCAGTTCATTGGGCAGCTGGAGGAGGAGCTACCGGTCCTGAGGCAGGAGGTGGGAGCCCTGCAGGCCCAGGTGTGGGACCCCCGCGAGGTCGTGTTTGCTGATGTTCTGCTTCGGAGGCCCAAGTAGGTGGTCTTGTGCGCTCACGCTCTGGGCTCTGAGAGGCTCCCAGACCCGGGGAAGGGAGAGCCTGGCGTTGGTGGCAGAACCCCGGCAGGGACGGGAAGGCCTGGGTCGCTGCCTTGGCTCTGCCACTCTCCACACGTGACCATTCCCGTCTCTGGACCTCGTTCCCACCTGTACACAGCAGGCCGGGTGCAGGGATCTCTAAGGACGCCTGGAGTCCCCGGGTGCCAGGTGTCACCCACATGGGCACTGCTCTCCATTCTGGGGTGCAGTGGAAGGCAGAGTTGAGGGAATGGTCGGCTCCGGCGAGGAAAGGCCTCGGCCTGCGGCGGCTGGCCCCCGCGGGAAGAACTCGCCTCCTTCCCAAGCCAGCTCTGCCTTCCCTTCCTTGGATCGGGTCCAAGGGGCTGGGCTGGGAGGGCTCTCCCCAGGCACCACAGCACCAGGAGTGGCAGAGTCTGGCATTTGCAGATCACTTATTTGAGACCCCCTGGCCCCAGGGGAGTGTGTCCCGGGACGGTCAGGGTCAGGCTGCCTGAGGAGGAGGCCTTGAACCAAGGACTGAAGGCTGTGTGAAGTCCACAGGCCAGAGAGGCCGGGGGCAAAGCACTCTGGCTGGTGGAGCTGGCTCTGACGGATCCTAAGTAGGCACCTGTTGTCCCGGGCCCTAAACGCACTGGAGTGAGACTGGACAGGGCAAAGCCGACGTGGGCCTGGTAACCAGTTTTCATCTGATAAAGCTGATCTCAGAGAGTGTGGCGTGCGTGAGGATACTTCAGGAGGTTTGGGTGGGAGTTGGGCACTTGGTGCAGCAGCTCAGACGTCCCTGGGGATCCCATGTGACGCATCCCATGTTGGAGAGCTGGATCGGAAGTGGAGCAGCCAGGTCTTGAACCGGCACCCGTAAGGGATGCCGGCACTGCAGGCGGTGGCTTTACCTGCTATACCACAGGGCTGCCCCTCCACAAACTTTTTGAAGATGCCTTGTATGCATGAATTTCACATTTTTTTCCCCAACAAAATAAGCTTATCTTTTCACTACATTTTCCCGCTGACTTTTAGAAAGTCCCCAGGCCTGTTCTAAGTGCTGACCCTGGAACTGGGTAAATGGATGCACTTGGCCGCGGTGGAGCTGGCACGGGGGACCAGCCCTCTGAGCAGGGGCGGGCGTAGCCTTCCTAGGCTGCACATTGGTGCTGGAGGAAGACTGAGCTGCCCCGCCCCTTCCCGGCTCCACGTAGACCATCAGGAATCCCACCCCTCTTCCAGGAGCACAGAGAGGCCCCGAGCGGCCGAGGTGATGGCAGGCGACACATGGCAGGCGACACCAAGGGTGGCAAAGCTGCTCTCCCTCCCGGAAGGTGGAGGGCGCGCTGGGCATGCATAGGTGTCCAAATCGGTCGGTGCAGGGTGGGGCTCAGGCTCAGCTCTGTAAATTGCAGGCACCTGACGTTTCCTGCCGAGGTACTGTGTGTGCGTTTGTAGACTGATGAAGCCACGAGGGTGGATGAGCTCCCGGGGAGTGGAGCTAGAGAGAGGCCACAGTCCTGCAGCCTCAAGCATTCGCGCTGGTGGCTGGGACAGGGGATGTGCTGCAGGTGGCACTGCGTCTCTTTTGCTGCTTTCTTGAGAGAAACGCTGGCTGACTTTTCTGAAGCGTGCACGCCACACCCGCGACCAGGGTTGGAGTCATTGTCCCTGTCTGAGAGATGAGGAAACGGAGGCTCACCTGGGGGCTGGTGCACGGTGAGCGCGCGTCACAGAGGGGATGGCCCAGGCCAGGCGACACCACCGGTGCTAGGCGTCCTCCTGCAAGGATGGTGCCCGGCCTGGCCTGGCCTGAGGCCTCACATCTCGGCTGCACTCCTGCCTCCTGACCTCAGCCGTCTCTGGGGCAACATCACTCCTGCCAAACTTGAAATTCTTTTTCCATTAAAAAAAAAAAAAAAAGATTTGTTTGAAAGGTAGAGTGACAGAGGAAGAGAGATCGAGAGATCGAGAGAGAGATCTTCCATCTACTGGTTCACTCCCCAGATGGTCACAACAGCCACAGCTGGGCCAGGCCTACGCCCAAGCCAGGAACTCCATTGGGGTTTCCCACCTGGGTGTCAGGGGCCCAAGCACTTGAGCCATCATGTCCCAGGATGTGCATCCGCGGGGCGCTGGATCCGGAGCAGAGCTGTCAAGACCCTAACTGGCGCTTCAGTGTGGGCTGTCGGTGTTGTGAGCCGTGCCGTAACCCGTGGTGCCGCGACAGCCCTCCTAGTCCTCTGTGGTGTGCGCATGCACAGCTGGGCTTCAAGGCCTGGAGGGCTCCCCAGGAAGGACCTGGTTCTCAAGAGCAGGGCTGCCCTGAGAGAGTCCGCTGGTAGCTTCCCACACCCGTCTGCTGTTTCCTGCCAGGTGCACCCCAGACATGGACGTCCTCATCAACATGCCCGTGGAGGAGCCGTTACCCTTCTAGACGGCCATTCCCCCCGAGCTTTCCGCCCAGCCCCAGGTGCCTGGAATTGTTTCCTTCCCAGACCAGGTCGTCATTCAGACCCTGGGCCCTGAAGTTCCTCCCTCTGTCCCTCCCTCCGGTCTCGATCCCTCTCCCTCCCCCTCCCGCAGTCTCCCCTTCCTTTCTGGCTGGGCCTGGGGAGGAGTTCCCAGTGAAACTTGCCATTCCTTTCTGCCAATAAAGCTGGACTTGCACCTGCTTGGTGGCGGTGTCCCAGGTCTCGGCTGGGGCCTTGCAGAAGCTGGTACAGCGTGGACTTGGTCTAAAGACAAGGGGCGGGCAGCTGTGCACCTGTCTCTGCAGAGGAAGTGCTGGTGTGCCACCCCCCCGCCCCTGCCCCCGCCCCCGCGGCGTCTCTGTGGCTCTAATACTCCTGCCTGGCACCTGGCACCTGGCACGGTGGGAGCGCAGCTTCCCTTCCAGTCTGTGCCTGGACCTACTGAGGCCCCTGCCAGGGGGGCGGGGAGATGTGCTGTGGTTCGCGCACCTGGGAACTCACTGGGCCCACACTGCTGGCGGCGGCCAGCCATCTGGCTGTCCACTGCCGCCACCCCAGCTGCCCAGGGACAGGATCATGGACGGAGAGACAGGCGCGCAGCTGTCTCCCAGGTTCAGCCCCCTTCCCACGGCCAGTGGCGGCTTCATGGGCAGGTGTCAAAGGTCCAGATATCTTGGCGGGTCTTGGACCAACTCCAAAAGGCTGCGCTGGCCCCGGAGCTCCCTGGAGGGCTGGCTGCAGCCTCGGCCTGCACTGCCACTTGGCCTCCTGTTGCCCATCCTGCGCCTTCCTCTCCCTCCCAGGATGTGCATTAATAAACACGTACACTCCACACACACACACACTCCGCCACCAAGTGGCCTCCCTGGGGACCCACACTGGTCGGTTGCTCCCAGCTCCACTGTGCACGCAAAGGGACTTGTTCATAGGGAACAGAACAGCCGACTCCAATCGCCCTGAACAGTGAAGGTCCCGGGCACGTAAATGGTCCCGTTAGGCTTTGTCCAGGAGGCCAGCGATGGAGCCGAGGACCGCGATTCGAGTTCCCTACTTGGTCTTCCTGGGTGTGCTCTTCCCAGAGCCAGCGTTCCTAGTGTCCCCAGTGTGCCACCATCGCCTGGGGCTCTGCTGTTCCTTGTACAAACCCTGTTGGAATGAGAAAGTCTCTGTGCCAGGATTTTCAGGCCAAGTGTGGACTCACTGGCATCAGTGCCACCCTTGAACCAGGATGGTGCCAGCTGGCTTAGCCCGAGCCCTGTGCTTCGCGCTGGGGCAGGGAGGGTGGTGGGGTGCAGCGGGGGATCTAGGTTGAGCTAGTGGGTCCTCCCAGAGCCAAGTGGAGCTTCAGGCGGAAATGGCACAGGTCCCACGTGGAGGCAAACCCCGGACCAGGCTGTGCCTGGTACACTACGCGCCTCTACTCGCCGGCTCCCCATGAGAACGCCTGTGAGCCGGGCACTGTTATCTTCATTTGGCAGATGGAGACACCGGAGCAGGAGCAAGCAAAACGACTTTTCGAAAGTTATCAGGCTAGTAAGCCGTAGGGGCAGGGTGCTTTCATTTGTTTTTAAAATATGGCTTATGAGGGAGGGAGTAAGGGGAGGAGAGAGAGAGCATGTACTCACAGCCGCTCATTCTCTCCCCAAAGGTCTGCAACAGCCAGGATTGGGCTGGGCTAAAGCTGGGGCAGGGGACTCAGTCCAGGTCTCCCACCCGGGCTGCCTGAGCCATCACGGCTGCCGCCCAGGCTCTGCGGTAGCAGGAAGCTGGAGTCCAGAGCCTGAGCTGGGACTGGAACCCAGGCACATGCACGGAGAGAGGGGAGGAGGGCATTTTAACCACCGGCAAACACCTGTCCCGACACTTTGCTTTTCACCCTTACGCTGTCAGGAGCTCAACTGAGCTACTCCTTACCATGAACGGAAAGTGCTACGGCCGGCACGCTGTGTCCCTGCACAAGTCGTGCTGGGACCCGGTCCCTGATGCCATGTGTGAAGAGGCAGGGCCTTTGGGGTCCTCCTGAGAGGGATGGGTGTCTCTCTTTCAGGGCTGGAGGGAATGCTTCCCTTTTTGCTTTTCCACCATTGGAGACACGGGGTTTGTCTTCTTCACGAGAGGTGGCCTCAAGAAGCTACCATCGGGGCCATCTCTGTGTCATAGCAGGTAAAGCCGTGGCCTGCAGTGCCTGTGTCCCATGTGGTCGCTGGTTCGAGTCCCAGCTGATCCACTTATGATCTAGCTCCCTGCTAATGCACCTTTGAAAGCAACAGAGGATGACCCAAATGCCTGAGCCCCTGTACCCACATGGGAGACCTAGATGAAGCTCCTGGCTCCTGGCTTCAGATGGGCCCAGCTCTGGCTGTTGTGGCCATTTGGGGAGTGAAGCAGTGGATGGAAGATCTTCCTCTCTCTGCCTCTGCCTCTCCTCTGTATCTCTGCTTTTCAAATAAAAATGAGGGTGAGCTGTTATAGACACCAAATATACCGGCACCTTAATCTTGAACTTCCCATCCTCTGAAAGTGTGCGAAATTACCTTCTGCAGTTTATAAATCAGCTGGTCCAAGCATTTGGTTGTACTCGTAGCAGCCTGGACGGACTAAGACCGGTACACTATTTCCCAAACACCAGAAGTTCCTTCTGGGTTAACAATGGGGTGGGAGGAGCCCACGTGGCGCCATGATGGGGCTACTCCGGATCAGGTCAGCAGATGGCGGTAGAGGCCGATGAAACCCATCTGCTGCCGGCTGGGTGGGGTGGGGGTTGGATCCCCAGTTTGTAAATCGCCAGTGGCGTGTTTGATCAGAGTTCCCGACTGGAGATGACCTTTTTGGTGAGGGAGGGACTTTGTGATGAGTCCAGGGATGTTGTCTGCCTCCTGCCCGCGCGAGCCGACCTCAGGGGCCCCCACTCAGCTTGCGCCCCTGGCTCGCTCGTTCCCACCACTCTCATTCAAGGCTCAGCCCTTGCAAGCAGGTCCCTAGCTTTGAGAGCTGTCCCTCCGCGCGGGCAGGCGCTGGCTCCGGGCCGGAACACCGTTGCTAACCTTGGCGTCCATCGCTTTGCGTGGTGTTCTCCGTAGCTGTGATTATCATCTGACATTATCTGTTCATCTGTTTCTCTCTGTTTATTGTCTGATGCCCCCAACTGGGACAAAAGCTGAGTGCGGAAGGCGAATCATCAGGCTTGTTTACTGCTGTCCCTAGTGCGGGGAGTGCCACCTGGGACATAGCCGGCACTCACTATTTATTAGGTCATTGAATGAATGAACTGACTCTAACGCTAGGTTTTAACAGTGACACTTGCATCACCATGAAAATGAGGCGCCCCTGGCGTGTGGCGCAGCCTGCTTGAGTCCCGGCTGCTCCACGTCCAATCCAGCTCCCTGCTAATGCAGCTGGGAAAGCAGGGGAAGGTGCCCAAGTGCCTGGGCCCCTGCACCCACGTGGGGGACCGGGAAGGAGTTCCAGGCTGCGGGCTTCCAGCTGGCTCAGCTCTGGCATTGTGGGTATTTGGAGAGTGAACCAGCGGAGGAAAGATCTCTCTTCCTGATGTTCTGCCTTTCAAATACATAAATAAATCTTATAAAAAACTGAAAAAAAAAAAAAAAAGAAACTGAGGCCTCCACCTATAGCAAATGGCCCATAGTGAGGAAAGATGGGGCGTATAGCTAACACACCCTCCACATTAGAGGGACAAGCGTGCTCGCCTTGTGCTGAGTGGGTAATCAGAGGCGGCGTGTGCTTGGCGGAATCCTTTTGTGCCCTGTTCCCCTGGTTGGATGGAGCCTGTGGACTGTCTGGAGGATGCAGTGGCAGCAGGTGTCCTCCCCGAGCGGGGGGGGGGGGGGGCTAATGCAAGGGGGAAGTCGGTGGGCACCAGTGCTCGCTGCCTGAGATGTGGCTGCTCTAGGGTGGGCATTTAGAGCAGTGGTTAGCAGGCCGCTTGGGACACAGCCATCCCATGTTGGAGTGCTTGGGTTTGAACCCCAGCTCCGCTTCCTCTCCAGCTCCCTGCTAATATGCACCCTAGGAGGCAACAGGTGATGGCTCCAGTACTTGGGTCCTGCCACCCAGGTGGGAGTTCCTGGCTCCTGCCTGCAGCCTGGCCCAGCCCTGCCCGCCGCAGGCATCTGGGGGAGTAAACCAGCACCCGGGACGATCTCTGTCTCTGTCCCTGCCCTTAAAATAAATGGAAAAAAATTAATTTTTTAAAAAAGATTCATTTATTTGTTTGAGTGGCAGAGTTATAGGGAGGCAGAGGCAGAGAGAGAGAGAGAGAGAGAGAGAGAGAGAGAGAGTCTTCCATCCACTGGTTCACTCCCCAAATGGCCACAATGGCAGGAGCTGGAACCAGGAGCTTCTTCCGGGTCTCCCATGTGGGTGCAAGGGCCCAAGGATTTGGGCCATCTTCTACTGCTTTCCCTGGCCATCGCAGAGAGCTGGATCAGAAATGGAGCAGCTGGGACTCAAGCCAGTGCCCACATGGGATGCTGGCACTGCAGGTGGTGGCCCTACCCACTATACCACAGTGCCGGCCCCAACTCACTTTGGAGACCCACGGGGTGTATCCCACCACCCTGCTCCTTTGTTTGACGTTAGACTCACTGCCTCCATGCTGGCCCTCGGCTTTGATTTCAGTTGTTGATGAAAAAAAAAAAAATCCAGTGCTTTCAGAGAATAACTGGACTAGTGGCCCAGAACCCTGAGCCAGGCAGAAGGTTCTGGATGGTTCGCGATGCCCGAGCTTGTCTTTGAGGTCTCGGGGCCCAGGGTGCTCTGGGCAGGGGCAGCTCGCTCTCTGCCTGTAATGCGCACGCACTGTTTTGCTTCCACCGTCTACTCAGCTGCCTGGGGAACAAGCCCTCCATTCCCACTTTGGGAGCCGCCCGGACCCCACATCAGTTCATGCAGAAGCCGATTCTGCTTCTAGATTTGGGGGTGGAGTTTGTGGCCAAGACTAAGGTAATCTGAGCATTCTACTCCCCAACCACGGATTGGTTCAAAGAGGGGCCCAAGACCTAAGCTGAGCCAATCACAGCTCTCGGGGCCCAGCCCTTGGCCTTCTGTTTGCACTCTGGAGGGAGTGAGGGCTCTTTCCCACTGGATTTTGGTGTTGTGAGTGATATGTGTTTTTTTTTTTTTTAATTTTTAAAAAGACTTATTTATTTATTTGAAAGGTAGAGTGACAGAGAGAAGAGAC